TTATCAATAAACCTTTCTTTGATGCGTTGCAAAGAAGCTCGTTTATTGAATTCAAAATTTAAACAATGCATATTGTTGAGGAGTCCCGTACTAGGACGAAATGGCTATCCAGTCCTTCCAGGTTTTCAATGGTGATCAAGCATTGATCGATTCATGATCTTAATCAAACTCAACGATCTCCACGCCCTTATAATGATAATAATACCATATGTTAAATTAATTTCAATTAAAATTTAAAATGCACTTGGTGTTTTTTACTTGTATCTTCCCATTGTTATTTAGGACTGCAATTGATCAGTCTCTCATTGGTATATGTGCATACTGTGCGGATTACCTCGATATTACCTGAATTCACAAGCTTTATAAGCAAAGATCGATAGTGACTAGCAGTGGAATGGAGGACCAGCGTTTCTATTTGGGAATAATCAGCTGAATGTACCTGCATCCCAGAATCCCAAATAGGACGAAACACGCGTCCTGAATTCCACTGCCAACCACTATTCACTTTGCTTAAAATTCAAAATAGTTTATGAAATGGATAACTATTCCTAACTCAAGAAATTTTAAGTCAAAAGTTTTAAATTTATGATTCAGGAATGAAATAATAGCTCATTACCTGATGTATTCGTCTTTCAGCTCATCAATTACAAAATCAATAATTGTTTGTTTAGCAAATCATCATATCAAACTTTGGACTGATATAAGTCAAGTGATTGGACGTTGTCTACAATAAACCCTGCTCAGTCTAGATTTCATGCTAGTTAGCATTCGTCAGCAAGACGTATGTGAGATTTTAAAGCAGTAGATACTTTCTCTAGGATTCGACCATGTGTCACGCAGCTTCAAAGTGTTAAGTGTTATCGCATTGAACTTTTAGTCCTAGTGGAAGCAACTGTCCCCTAAAGATTACGGATGTACCTTACTGATAAGTGTTAACTAAAACGAAATCCAAGTTCAGGATTCCTCGGTTACTATATTCGACTGTTTTATCTCGAGATTATTATTTACATAGTTTTTCCAATAAATATTCAAACTTCTTTCACAAAAAGTAAATTCAGCAAATTTCAAAACTATCCGTATTATACTCTTTGACACTACACTCACACATATACACGTCTTCACATTAGATCGAAAACAACTCTTTCAAGTACCACGGTGGTGATGATAATTTCATAGTTTATATTACTAGCTGATCATATATAATTATGGAAAACGAGAAAGCATTTGACAGCTATTTCATCCTAGTGTAAGGTTTCTGAGGAGGGCACATCCGTTATCCCTTAAAAGATTGAACCTATGAATTTCAGTTCTCGAGGCCTACACTTAACTGGACTGGCATTAATTTGTTTATACAATCAATCTTCAATCAATTCAAAATATTGTTTTGCCATCATTAATTTAAAGGTCACTGTGAGGTTTAAATATCCTGGATACATCCCTAGGTGTGGTCGTAGATATAGATTTATGATGTACAATGCTATGGCGAAACAATTCCATTTTACTTCTTGGATTCTAGTGATTATCTACCTAAAATTAACCATGGAACGTAAACTACACATTTCATTTATCTCTACAACATTCCACAGTAGAAATGATTTTGAGACAGTTTCAAAATGAATTCACTTAACATTTAATAAATAAATTGGTGGAATTTTATTCTCTGCGTTAGAGGATTTAGTCATGGATCTTTAATCATTCTTTTGAACAATATCATCAGTACAACAAATGTCAGTAGAAATGAAGTGTCCAAATTCAATTCACATATAACACACAGCTTGTTCTGTAGACCTTGATCAAGGTGAAACATTTCACTTCAAACCTGAAACTTCTACTGATGATATCATTCAGAAGAATAATAAAAGTTCCACGATCCAAACCATTCACTCAAAGAACAAAACTTCATCAAATATTCAATACACAATGTTGTATTTATAACAACTGAATATATATATATATATAAGAAATAAATCAATGAAATAATATATAATATAGATTATTAACGTGTTTACGGTGTTTATTTTTATTTACCGAAATGAACTTCTCATTTTGATCTATGGTTCATTGTATTCTATTTATTGATTTTTCAATGATCAGTGAAATGAATTAAGATTCAATGAAAGAAGAATATTTGTAATAGTGATATTATTGTTCATAGAACCTATATAGATGTAAATGTTTACATACATTTTCAGTCATGTATATTCACATGTACTATATTATCATTCATATTACAGATGGTAATAAGTAGAGGTGAGTTGGAAATGAGAGAATTATTATGTAATATGAATAAGAAAATGAACAACTAATAATATTTAACTTGTAAGATAAAATGAAGACAAGAATGGTTAAGAAAAAAATGTCAATGAAAAGGAAAGGAATGAAAAGGTTGTGTGGAAATGATAATGCTAATAATAATAATAGAAGCAGTGTAATAGTAGTAGTAGTAGTAGTAGTAGTAGTAGTAGTAGTAGTAGCAATTAAAGATCGAGAATCATTTAAAATCCTTATAAATAATGATAAAAATGGATAGTTCTGAATAAGAATTCTACTTATGGCGACAGTAAACATAAATATTTTTAAGATGAACACAAGTGAAAAAGAAATAGAAGAGGCGGGAAAAGAAACAACTATTACACCCATGTACTCAATGTCAATATACGTAAGATAATAACAGTAATAATAATACATTAATGTAATACTAACCAACATAACTATTGTCTTATTTTAAAGGAATTTATCATTTCTGTCATGACAACTAAAATTCATCTCTTTATATAATAGGTTAGTAAAAATTATACAAATATGCGTGAATATCGTTCAATTACGTAATGCAACAATATCAGTATATATGTATGTATGTATGTATGTATAACGCATATAACTCACATAATAAAGCAATATCGGCATATACATATATGTATATATGTTGCTATGTATATATATATGTAGGTATGTGTATACAGAAAACAATGCATAGGACAATAATTCATCAGATCAATGAACTATGTATATATATATACTTATCATTTATTATATTTAAACAAAACATGAAATTACACAACAAGAAAAAACATTATTTGGTGTTGTTGTTGTTGTTTCTCCTTCAAATATAGATTCTCTTTCTATAAAAAAGGAATAAAACAATGCATAAGTTCATTCAATGAACAATAGAAGACAAGGCTCCAAGTGTATAAAGAAAAACAAAGTGAAAATAAAATATGGAATATAAGTTTAATAGATGGTAAAAATACATGGAGAACAAACCAACAATATTCATTGTATCCATGATTAAGAAACAAAACAGACATATATATATATATATATATATATATATATATATATATATATATATATGTAGATAGATAGATATCAGTAGTAGAAGTAGTATCAATGGTTATTTATATTAATATTAAGTATGAAAAATGCTTAAGTCTTCGATCATGATTAAAGAGTAACCATCTAAATGAATCAATAAATAAAGGGGAAATGATTAAGAATTTTATAAACATTAAATTAAGAAAAAGAGAAAAAAAAGAAGAAGAAAATTCAACTCCACCCGCCCCCTTTCTCCAGCAATCATTATCGATTGATACGATCAGATTTAAGCAAATTTATTGAATGAAAGAAAGAAATTTATTACAAATGATGAACAAAACAGCAAAAAAAATCAATAAAATGTTTTTTTTCTATTTTTTTTGTTGTTTGTTTGATCTTTTCATTTTCAAATTATTTACTTTATAAATAGTATCTGTGGCCTAAAATATTTTCACTATATGCATACGAATATAGAAACAAACAAAAAACAACTTCCTCCTAATAGAATAATAATATTCTTAGATTAAAGAAAAGAGATCAACAAATACCTTGGATACTGAATCACAATTTTGAAAAGCAATGGTTCAATCATTATCATTATTATTATTATTGATCATTGAGGCATACATAGTACACAAAACTTGCATTTATCTAATATATTTATATAGAAATAAATAAATAAATAATGATCGTTACAAGATATACTCATGAATGATAAGCGTTATAGCGAAACAATGCTGATATTAATTCATAACAGTAATAATAGTAATAATAATAGTTTATATTATTAAGACTTTAAAAAGTAACTAGAAAAATCTTTATAACAATTAACATACTGTTGATTGTATTATAAACTAATTATTACTTATCTATATATAGATAGATGTGTGATTATTTCACAATATACAATGCACTTTTTAGAAACATGTTGGATTCTTTTTACAAAAGTAAAATAACAAACAAACAAACCATATACTACTATTATTATTATTACTACTACTACTACTACTAATAGAACAATCAATCATTCATTTGTTTTGTTTTTTCTATTCTGAAACAAGAATTAAACGTTTTTTTTGTTTTCACGGAAAAAAAAGAGACTGGTATTACCCCCTTCCTCATATTTCTTTTTTCAAGTACTAGTTGAGGGATATTTCCATGTATTCTTAAAAAGTGTGATAATGGGTTTGAGTGAATGATATTGATGATAGTACGTGTATATATATATATATATATATACGTATAGAAAGGGGTGGATGTAGTGTTTTACAATTTCTTTAATTATGTATAATAAGTTAGCAGTCGATAGAGAATATAGGAGTCTTTTTTTTAAAAAAACAAAAAAAAACAAAAAAAAGATGTATACTGTTGCCAAAATGAGAAGAAAATCAATTTGAGAAATGATCATTCCCATTCATGATTAGTTGATTTGTTTTACGAATACAATTAATTGTTTGTTTAGTTTCCTGTTTTTTCCCCTCCAATATGATTAATGTTTTAGTTGTACGTTGGTTTTTTTTGTCTCTACGGACAATACAGATACACAGATATGCACAAATACAAATTTATTTTTTTAAAAAAAGTAAAACATGACAAGATTTCCAATAGTAGTAGTTGGGGATACAAAATGGATTGATTCATTTTGACATTTTGTGTAGTTTGCTTATTTATTTATTTATTATTAACTATTCAGCTGGTTCATCAGCGAGTAACATAGAATAAAGTTGTTTATCTGCCATACAACCATCCATAAATTCTTCTCTTGTTAAAACTCCATCAGAGTTACTATCCATTTTTTCAAATATTTCATCTGTACGCGCTTCAGGACTTAAATCAACAGTTGATTCATCAGCACCTAGCATACTGTAAATTGCCTAGATGTATGTATATATTAGGAAAAAACACACAATAATATTATATAGATTAAAAGCATATGAATTATTGGAATTTAAGAAAATAATTCGGGTAAAATATAATAAACGTGACAGACTTTGTATAATGTTAGACGATTGAAGTCAGTTAGCAGGATACCCTATCCCATTTATGTTTCGTTGCTAGTTCGCTCTTCTCAGTAAACATTACCTGTGACTATAACCCGAACTGATGCTCCCTGATGGATTCGAAACACTAAGATTCAGTTCCACATTCCGAACTGTTGTAGGGGTTGCTTCTATGTCAAGCCTATATAGGTTATCCTAGCTCCTGGACAGATCAATCTATTGGTTCTTCTCAAGCCACATTTTAACCCTGTCATTTATTCGCCTATTAATCCTGACTTTTTTTTATATGACCGTATGTGTGCTAATTACTTATCTTTCACATTACATGTCTGTAACTTATTTTTACCTGAATATAAATATCGGTCCACGGTGCGTCATTCCGTTTCGTTTCGTCCTCTCTTATTCGCTTCGTTTGTTAGATTGTCTGTCTGGACCACTGATTGTACGATATATACGTATTCGAAATTCATTCTCGTATTTGACTTATTTAATACCGTTATTCACTAACACCAGATAAGTCGGTGATTATATAGGAGGATTGGCGACATGTATATTTCGACAGCAGTCATTCAATAACAATCACAAATGATCTAACTGGTGTTACCTAAAATGTTACCACTAAGCTTTCCAACAGATGACTGATATCCCGTAAGATTAAGATATTTACCACTGATCGATCATTGAGTAACGACTAATATCATGTTTTGCCAGCTCATTTTTATCTCTGATCCGATTCTGTCAATCCAATTTTTTATTGTGAATCGAGGTCGATTGAAGAAAGCACTCAAGTACTATAATATCTCTAATAGAAAACACCGATTAATTTGAAACAGTGGATTGAACTTAAGATTCCTATGTTGTACAGTCTGTTAGTAAGTATGCCTTGAGAATCAATCTATTTTTTAGCTCAAATTGATTTTCAGTCTAGTTCTTAATAACCATTCAGCGTGAAGGTTAGATTATTGTGTCACTTCCAACTTGATACCATCCTACTAAATTTTTCAATTGATTACGATCATTCCTGACTATAAATGACTCGAAGATTTCATTCAATGTGAGTGGGATCTATGCATTCCTATGAGTGCAAAGACCAATCACCATATGATTTACACAACAATAATAATCCTCCACGGGATTAAAGAAAGAAGATATGAAATTCAGAAAAAGCTCGATTTTCTAAAAAGTCAAAAACATAGTACAACAAATCAATCTACTTAGCTAAATCACTATGGAAAACCTGGAAGTTCCAGGCCGAACCCAGGACCTATCAGTCTTGCGCTCGGACGCTTGCCCATTAGACCGCTGAGTCGTCCGGCATCCAACGGTGTTGATGTCTAGCTTCAACCAACCCACGAAATCGCGCCACTGTCCACCACTGTCTTCAGTGAGTTACTATCTCACAACTGACCTGGTTGATCTCCATTGGTCACTATTTCTCGCTAGAACTCCAGGATACACACCTTGAAGCCAGTCACTAGTGAGCATATGTTGATTAGTATCAGAAGGGGGGTTTTGTGGATATGTTAGTATTTTTTGATAGTTGCCAGCTCAGTGGTCTAGTGTTTAAGCGCTTGCGCTCGAGACAGGATCGTAGATGCGCACTGTTGATGAGTTCAATACTAGGACAAAACGACCGTCTAGTTCTTCCAGGTTTTCTATGGTAGTCTAGCTTCAATCGATTCATGATCGCAACTATTAAAATTACAAAATAATGGTTTAATGCATTTCAACAAAAAAGGACTTTTGATACAAAAAAGTAGTAGAATTTCATTTAGCAAAAAAACTATTCTGACTCATTCTAATCATGAAATATTCCAATGAAACATATTTCTAATCAAACAAGGTACTTTTTATGCCAACTAAAATCGCATTAATAGATTTCATTCATAATATAAATTGAGTATATGACAATTTCACTGATTGAAATCATGATCCAATCGAAGCTAGATCATTATGGAAAACCTGAAAGCACTGGGCGGCCATTTCGTCCTAGTATGGGGCTCCTCGGCAGTGCGCATCCACGATCCTGCACCAAGCGAGATTCCAGGTTTTCAATCGTGGTCTAGCTTCAATTGACTCATGATTTCAATCAGTGAAATCCCTAAAATCTCTACAAAACCCCTTCTGATATATGACAATTGTATGAAGGAACGATTTTCACTTGACAACTGTGACCGAGAATTTAAAAAAAGTTATAATAATAAAACTCATGTAGTTGATTAATATAAACATTGAATACAAGCGTAACAGTGTTATGCATTCTATCTTATACGATATTTTCTATTTCCACTTATTGTTAGAATAATTTAAAAGAAACCGCTTAAAGTATATAATATAAATTTAAACAAAACGAGAATGATAATCAAAGATGGATGATGGCTAGTAGTGGAATCCAGGATGTGTGTTTTGTCCTACTTAGGACTTATTGACTGGATGTACCAACATCCCAGGGTTGATGTTCACTTTGAAACTCGAATCCAGTACCGTTTGTTTTAAATATCATTATGCTATTCACTTAGCTACTGAATTCTGATAGCCACTAACTTATGCAGTGGGATGAAGTTTAAATTCATTTTGTATTGTCTGTTTGAATTTTCCCATTGATGTTTAAGACTGTAATTGATCAGTTTCGAGAATGAATTATATTTATAGGAAATAATCAACTCAGTGTAGTTCCTTGCTTACTCTTTTACCTATATACAAGTGAATAAGATATTTAAGATATTAGTTGTTGGGGATGATAGATCCCCAAAACTCATGTTTTTTAATTTTATCTTATCGACTAACTTATCGATTAAATGTTTGAATGACAGTCAATTGATGAACTATCGATTAAATGTTAAATAGCGGTCAATTGATGAACTTATTGATTAATGTTTAAAAATTTTCCATGACAATATCGATTGTAAATATTTGTATAAATACTCTTGATTTGTGTGCTTGACCTAACTTGGTATCTGCTGTTTGCCTGTAGAATACACTGCCTACGCCTTACCAAGACTTCTGATCGAGTTAACTGAGTCGGGGACAACGGACCAGAATAGCTATCGAGTCTCTGAATCATTGATCCTCTGTTCCGTCGAGTAAGATGAATCAGTTGTAGCATTCAAGCTTAAAGAACCTAATATTACTATTATGTAATAGGACAGAAATTTAGCTTGTTTAGAAAGATCAAATAAATATGAGTTTAACTAAAAAGATTACAGTCAGTCAGTCAGCTACAACGTAAGACCAGGCACATATATGCATCGGTCCAAGTCGCCATACCTCATTAGCGCAACAAGATGAACACCGGATTCTTATGTTAGAAAGTCGTTAGAGGTTTATCATTAACTCTTTTTGAATACAATCGTAAGGATTAAATATTCTAATCCCTATGGCTCCTGCAAAATCTTAATAAGATGGGATTAAACTGTATATTGATAAATTTGAGCGCGTTCATTGCGTTTATGTTATATCTCTTGTCTAGTAGGTAGCCTCATGTCAAATTAAAAAAGTTGTTTTATCCTCAAAGGTGTATATGTTAATAGGAATGAGTTCAGTAAAACGAATGGAAATCAGGATTTCTATCCTTCTGATGCAAATGTTTTGCCATGCACATGTGAATTAATAAAAATAATCAGACGGGATTTATAATGAACATTTGTCTCTTATTATTTATGTTACTGATCATAGTCTTGTATATGGTGGAACCAGTTTTGGAGTGATGAGTGTGCTTTTTAAAACTGTTTTTCGTCATTAATTTATTCATAAATTGATCAACTTTGCAAACTTCTTCCTATTATTTCGATATTCTGAGCTGCATTTCTTTATAAATGCTTGAGAGCATCCATTTACTTATGGATGGTTATTTATTTCCGTATATTCCTCCTTGAGGTTTTCTGATGAATATAACTTTTTGACTCTGTCAGAGGATGATTTCAACAATCTATATCTATAGCATATATGTCGCAATCTGTATAAATTTAAGCATTATCCACTGCAGTTTCATTTCCTACATGTTTACATTCGGTAAACTTCATCGAGATGGTGGAGAAGATTTGTAGCTCAGGTGGATGATTTTGGTGGAGTTTTGTTCTCTGAGCTGGATGGTTTGGTCGTGGAGCTTTCATCGTTCTTCTCCACGACATCATCAGCACAAAATTCAGATAGACTTCCAGCTCAGAGAACAAAACTCCATCAAAAGGTAAACTTCATTATTTCTTCGAAAGGTAACTAAATCTAAAAAAAGATTAGAACACACCTTTTTCTTCATGTCTCATTGAAAACTTACTATTAAGATGTAATGTATTGAAGCTTTGAAGTATCTTACCTAAATTTATCGATTATTTGTTTAATCAATATCCGTTTAATAGACGTGACTGAACTATGGTACATAATTTTACATAACATGATTTGCAAAAATAGTAATGAATAAATCCCAATTTTTAATTGTGATCCATTCTTTAGAAAGTAATTTAGCAAGGAAAGACACAATGGTGAAATTCATATTTGATGTTTAATTATATTTTTCATCTTCACAATGAAATTCATTAGTTGATCTAAGCTAAATCATCATTGAAAACCTGGAATCCGTAGAAAGTTGTTTTATTCTAGTATGGGACTCCTCAGCAGTGAGCATCCACGATCCCACACACAGGACTCAAATCTATGACCTACGGTCTTATGCGTGAACGCTTAACCTCATGACCTGATTTACCACATACAAATTTATATTACTTAACTTTGAGTCATATATTGTGTGAAGGCTAATTATTAATATCAACTGGATAACCAAAATTGAAGTAATTGAGAGCGTGATTGTAAATTCTTAACCTTTTAATGGGAAATCAAGTGTTTTGACCTAATAGTCAATGGACATTCTCTTAATTATC